TCCTGGGCTGGGTGGGTAATTGGAGCCCCGGTCTGTTGTGTGTTCCGCACCATATGGGGGAGGTGATTGAATAAATAAATAAAACAGGAACTCCATTATGAGAGACGGCACTGAACGAAGAAAGACAGCCCTGTAAGCTAGACACCTTGTTGGGGGCGGCACCGCTGTAAATCAGTCTCAGTTGTTGATATGGTGCAAAACGCTATCCCGTGGATAATAATCTTCCCAGCGGACAACGCAATTGGTTTTTCTACTACTTATCCACTAAATAGCGATTTAACTGGTGGATAGTGCTACTTTAAACAAGTGGGGCCAGACAGACATCGTTGTGAAACCTCTTATATCTACTCCTCTGGGAAGACACCTACAAGGTGGACACGGATCCTACAGTGGCTTGTAGGAACGTTTGAAGGAAACGCCTGTGTATACTTATAAATTGCCCAGGTATTTATTCGGTGGATATTGCTATCCAGCTTTTGAACAGCGAGGGCCGGACTAACACCAGACAGACAACGATAGCAAAAGCGAGACCGCTGTAAAGTAGTTGTTTTGGTCCAATGTTCTCATTGGCTTAGATTTTATTCTCCTTTGTTTCAGGCTCATTATCATACATAACCATACCACAAAACATAGGGAAATTAAGTTCAGATCAAAGCTAAAATTGAACCAAAACATAGATTCCTACAAAGTTTACAGATCCGATTAGCTTACACGAACGTTTTGAGAAAACTCCTGTGCATGCACCACTCGACTGTCATGGTTAAGACTGAAGAGGAGTAGCTTTGTTGTAGTATTTTTGTTTACTGTTCATTGGGTGTGACCGTGTGTGTTGTTCAGTTGCAATGATTGGCGGAAGAAATGCTGTTATTTGTTCTACAATCTATTATTTATTAAGCCTTAAACTCATCTTGTAGGTTGTTCATCACTTAGTGCCTCAAGACATTCGGAGGGAGTGGTCAGTTAAACATGCTTTGACGATAGAAAAATAGGAACTTTTTCGTTATTTTTTACAAACTGTTACTACTGATGTTGTGAAAACGGGGTGCGATTGTGGCGTGCATCAACAGCAAAAAAACGCCGGGCGAAGTTTTCCACAACATACGATGTCGAATCACACTGATGGAAGAACCGTAAAAAAAGAAGTATGCAAAGAAATAGAGACGCCTTATGAGCAGAAAGGTAACAGAGACTACCAGCAACAACCGCAACGACGAGAGCAGTAGCAGTCACGACTTAGAAAGAGCAACAGAAACGTCGCCGTTCTACAGTGACAAAACAGTAACGACAACCGCTTATGATATCGTTTGGGCGGGTCCAATATTATAAGGTTGACTCTATGGTTTTTCTGTGGATAGTGTTTTAGAAGGTGTTACTGTTATGTCGATTAAAAGAATCGACTAAAACTGAATAACAGCTTACAGTCAATGAGAAACGAACGTATTAGGGTAGTAAGTCATTATTAACACGAAAGACTAGTCAAGTTGTATTGTCTACTGATGTGTATTTGTTGAGCAGAAACATGTCGACCCTGCTCATAACACTAAGAGCACCAAAATTATGTCAAAAGCGCGATATGTTGAAAAATACTACCCTGCCGTTATATGGACGCCATAAGGAATTAATAATGTCTGATTTTGTGTTGTATAATTGTTTTTCAACACTGGGCTTGCACAGGGTCAGCAAGTAATTACACAGGTAACCCAGGCTCTGTGATAGTACCACAGTACGGTTTCAGTAAAATTACAGTGTTTGTATGGGGTAAAAATACCATCCTAAAATTTCTAGGAAATACTAAATAAAGCCGGATCAATGAAACTTACTCTGCAGTTAGTTGTTGTTGTCCTTATTGCTCCAACGAAGTTTCGTGATAATTTGCAGTAATTTGTTCTAATTCACCCTATATACAATAATATTATACAAGGTAGGAAACACGAGATGCCATTTTCGCCGACATGCCCTCATTCAACACAACTTTTTTCCACGAAATTCAAACTCCAACGGAAAATAAACATGCCAGGATCGTAGAAATAGGATAGCAGCAGATATAGAAACCAATGAAGCTTTCCCAGATAGAGAAACGAATCTCACAGACTTCGACAAACTCGAAGGATATAATCCAAACAGACCAGGGCGTATGAAGCTAGGGCGTTGAAACCAGGGCGGAACCTTTATCCGCCCTGGTTGAAACGCTCCGGCATACGCGCTCTCTGGTTCGGCTGTGATGCGGAGTAGGACTGCAACTAGTTGGCCTTTCCGCTCTCGATCCGCTGTCAAGGCAAGAAAAATGGCGCCGTCTAGCTAGAGGTAGGTTCGGATTTATTGCTTTATATCGTTAGATCGCTGCAATCTATAATTAGATTTGATATTTGGCCTATTTCTATGCAATATACAGAAAATATTTAGGTGATATTTTATAGTTAGTCTTATAAGTTAAGGTGTTTTTTGGCCTTGTATGTAATGTTTGAAAATATGCACATCTTCAATGCAGACATGCTTGGAGCCAAATTGCAACATAGGACATTAGTGGTTACACCCCGGAGAGTAAGGTTTATCTCAGCTCCACTGATACTGAAAGATGTGTTTTCACACCCATCACACTGTACAGTGTATTCCGGTTACTAACAAGGGCAGATGAAGTTCCTTAAGTCCAGCATCCACAAGGATTAATAAGATAACACATTACATAAGCTGCTATAGGGCAGCACTGTTTACAGGAAATTGGTAGCTATTAACATTTGATATACTACAATGTTCAACATTGCTTGAGAAAAGATGAGCTTCAAAGGTGGCAATATGTACGCCTTTAAGTTCATATTTATCCTCATTCCTATATGTATGTAGAGTCTCAAAATATTGTACTAATTTATGCATGGTTGGTAATTCCAACAATATACATGCCCCTTCACTATGACTGTTATGATACATATCTCTAGCATGAGAATCAAATACATTATATCCCTCAGCCTCAGTGCTGTAGATACCAACACCAATAATTGCCACCATTAAAATGAATGAGTTGTAGTTCAGTGCCAAGAGTGTTTCAAATGCAGTACCCTGTGAGTGGCATATACAGTAGTGATGGATGTTACAAGTATAACTGTCACTATATTCAAGGTGAAAAAATTGCTCAAACGCTGTAACCATTCCTGGCAATTCTGTTAACATTAATACAGATTGTCTTGCAAGCAGAGACAGACTAGAATATAATTATTGAATACCAACAATCATTATTTGAGTCATGTCATCAACTGAAGTAATCTTTGTTATCTTACTGTAAATTAAAGCGCACAGACTCTCTATTGCGACACAATGTTGTCCAGCATTTTCCCCAAATACTGTAACATTTCCTTAACAGTATATATGGAGCATTAATTGTTTTTTGTAGCATGCATCTACATAAACTAAAGGTCCTGGATTCTTCTCTATATCAGCACAAAGCTTAAATTGGCCAGAATTAACCCGGTGATTCAAACTGTTGTAAGCACTATAAAATGGATAATTGTATGTACAGAGGGGCAAATTCTTACTTAAAAGCCTATTTGGATATCTCATTTCACCTAAATCGCCAGTGCTTTGATGCTTAGACTTCCCTCGTTTACGAACTAGTTTTGGAGTCGCCCCGGTAAAAACCTCACACTGTTACAGTTACTTCTGGTACCTGTTTAAGTGTAAACCTTTTCTATTTTTAACGTAACAATGAATTTCAGACGATAGTGGTGTATTTTTCCGAATACTATTCCATACAAAAAGTGTCATTTTTCGTGTTTTCTGTAACAAAGATTTTAATTTGTTCATCGGTAGTCTGCTAGGTGCATGACGGTAACCGCGGTCATTTCGTTCCATGGTCAGATCGTTCCATAGAATAGTCAGCTGGTTCCACATATGAAAAGTCAAGTAAATCTTTCTAAATTTGTTGAGTGAACTTTATCGAGAAGATTAACGTTTCGTTCATACCACAAGCTGATAAAATAATAATCGATCCAAAGTCGATTCGATCCATCCTAAATCGTTTGAAAACAAACAAGAGACGATTTCAACCAGCCACGGGCTTTAACATTTAAGGTCGGTACACACTAGGCAACAAGTTGCAGCAACATGTTGCGGCGACACGTTGCAGCGACAAGTCGCTTCGTGTGTACAGGAGAATTTTTGTGAAAATCTTTGTCGCTGCAACAGAATTTGTCGCCGCAACAAGTCGCACAGATTCAGTCTGATTTGATTTTTTGCGACTTGTTGCAGCGACAAAATTCTGTTGCGGAGACAAAGATTTTCACAAAAATTCTCCAGTACACACGAAGCGATTTGTCGCTGCGACGTGTCGCCTCACCTTGTTGCTGCAATTAGTCGCCCGACCTGTGCACACGGAGTGATCTGTCGCCGCGACGTGTTGCAGCAACTTGTCGCCTAGTGTGTACCGACCTTTAAACCACCGCTTTGAGAGTTTTTGAGCTAGAATCGATCGATGGTTTTGAAAGATATAGCACAACAAGTAAAAGCTATGCCGTTTTGAAGGTACAGTATTTCGAAGCGCTTGTAACCTAAATATTTCTTTGCAAATGCGTCTGCTGTTCGCAGGCTACCGATTTATACAAATGTGAAAACAACGCGAGTTTCGAATTACAATCTCGATTTGATGGTAATTTGTCTTGCCGAAAATACAATCGACTAACCTGATTTAAACCAATGTAATTGTAAGTTCTGTTAAAAATAAATTTCCCACGACGAGATCTCAATTCAACCTCTTTTATTTCCTCCACAACACAATTTTCCTTCTGTACAATTAAGCTCATTATCTTCTCTGGTCGTCACCTCGCTGCCATCAAAACACTGTAACACAAAACTTGCTGATAATGCAAAATCCCTACGCACAGCATTGTACATGTACCCCGTCACAATGTACACAATTAGATGAAAAAACACAACACGCAATACAAAAACAAGTACATTAAGCGTCACCCTGCTAAACAAAATTGAAATAATAAAAAGAATTGTTGCAGTTATCACAGTAGTTCCAAAGAAGCCTCAGTCCCTTTTAGTTTCGATTGTTGACAATCGTCTCTTCCTTCATCGGAACAGATTTTTATCACAGGCAACTCGTTGTGTTCCGCAATGCAAAAATCAAAATCACTATTGTCACACTGATAACCAGCTACACAAATCTTGCGACTCTCAAACTTGTTAAACATTCCTCTGTTCAAACTCTTATCCATTTTACACGTACACTCTTGATATTCCGATTTGTTATTACGTCTACGGGGTCCATGAGTCTTTGATGTCATTGAATGTCTTGATGATTTCCTAAGTTTTTCTTTGAGTTCGCGGACCAGCCCATTCCGAAAACACTCAGTGTTATTTTTTAGTGTGGGCCTACCGCGAACAGTGTGTGCATTTGTAAGTTTAACCCGGGATAACATGATTGAACAATAAATTAACACGTTCCTCGAAACGCTGCGGCCAAATGTTATCCAAACTGCTTCTTACTGCTGCTTCGAAAAATTTCGGATCAGACGATATCCAAATCGTCCCTCATTGGATTATCCACTCGACCTAAGAAAATCGACCAATCACAAAATAAGGAAATGAAAATGGACATAAAACAGCAAATTCAGATGACCTCTTAGGAAACATGCAATTAAAACTGTCTTTCTATGATTGGTGCATTTCGATCCTCTCGTCAAAAGAATGTCAGACGCCAATCATCATAGCGGACCTCTTAGGAAACGAAAGTTTTCTTCAACGGGTTCAAAAGGTCATTGTTTGTGATTTGTGATTGGTGGATTTCGATCCGTTTTGCGAGTTTCTGTGATTCAAGGTTCGTTGCTTGTGACCTTATTGTGATCAAAACCCGACGTTAATATATTCCAAATATTTTTGATAGATTTCATCCCTGGACTTCAGACTTCCAAATTTCGATAAGGCAAAAATACTGAAGATTCAGATTAACTTTTGAGATCGTAAAAGTGCAATAAAGTGCCGTGTGCTAGCGGAGCTTTCTTTTCCACATGCCTCTTACCTTGTACAAGACGTTCGCATGGCAGACATTCGACTCGCTTCCCTTGTTTACTTTCCTTGTTTACGTTAGCACGTATTGCGTGCCTATTGCACATTTGCGTCAAAACAAGCCGTTTCCACTACTCTATTTGGGCCACGCCCAAATAACAACAAATTCTGTTTCACTGCGGTATAAATCTAAATGTTGTATTGCACAGAAACATGGAGAAATTTGCTTTTAAATCCGGCCCCACAAAGATTCCACTGTAAAATTAAATCATAGAATGTGTTTGTTGTTATGATTTTTTGCAGGACAATAGTGAGTGCGCGGCCTGAAAAGACTACTAAAACACACACTGAAAGATAAACGAGTTCATAATATCGTGAATATGAAGAAGAACATGAAGAGGTCTTAATTTGATTGCAAGTAGAATAAATTAAGACTGTGTAGCATTGTATTCTTGTCGTCATTCCATTTTCAAAAATCATTTTTTTCCCCACAGTTTTTACTTGGATTTTTTAATCAGAATTGTTCACAACTACATTGAGTTTACCTGGTTTTAAAATACAAAGCAAATTTAAAGAAAACTTTGTTTGTGACCAGTAAAGCCGGTTGACAATGGAGATTTTCTGTCTTCTAACTTTAATAAGTGTTACATGTATCATGTCTGTGTTGTAGGGCAGTCGTTCTGATTCACAACATGATATTCTAAAAAGGAGGTGTCAGGAAGAATTGGACATTCTGTGAAATTCGTCTGGAAATTTTCTGGTGAAATGGAATTAGTAACCTGATGGGCATTGGCAAATGATATTGGAACGGACACCGGTGAGAAGCTTATATCTTTAGATGTGCGTGGTGCTGACGTTTTGCGTGCTGAAACAGTATGTTCCTGTTGCATACAGATGTCGCTTGAATGGTCAGGCCCCCTGATATAGGGACTATATTGCTGTTTGCTATCACCTGGTAGCCCAAATTTCTAGCAAATGACTGACTTTGTGCAATTAGTTGTTGTAGGTATGTATCTTTTTAGAGAACTGTCGTTCACGCGCGCGGACAAGCGATTCAAGAGCTCGCGCGCGGAATTCCAGCTCTTTCAGCTCCGCTTCTTCGTCCGCGGTTGGTCTATCAAATTGGACTAGGTCTGCTTTATTGTTTTCCTGCCTGGCACTTCTTCCTGCAAACGAAGACACGTGAGCGGAAGTATGGCTTATTAAAGCAGCCGTGTTACGAAATTTGTCAAACTTCAAACAGTGGGAACCTCTTCTAAATTGAGTGAATCAGTAAAATAACGAGGGAGACATGGACAAAATTGAGGTGATATTGAGGCGGATTGCAATTGTAGTTTTTGGAAACTAATGATAGGTCAACAGCTTTTCAAAGTTCATTTTTGTTGTTTGTAAGGTTTAATAATCTTTGTAATACGTAATTCTAAAAGTGTTCTATCTCGAAGGAAGATGATGTGCACTGTGGGAATACAAATATAAATTAAGTTACGACCATAGCGGTCGTAATCGCATTTCCTGGTCAAGATGAACTTCACAATTTTTTTTTTCCCGATTCATTTGTAATCCACTGTCGTAGCTCTGGCCTGCTACTAATGTATGGATCCTCATAGCTCAGTTGGTACACTCTAAATCAGAAAGATCTGTTTTAGCCCTAAAAACAGGGCCGTTTCAGTGAGTAAAATACAGTCCTATTTTTGGGTCTAATTTGGCTCCCTTAAATCAGGGCCAATACAGTCCAATTAGCTAGGGCTGATTTGGTTCCAGGGCTGAAATGGGCCCTACCGTGGGCTGGAATAGCCTTTTGATAGAGCTTTTTGGGCCTAAATTGTGCTCAAATGGTTCCAGGAAGGGTTGAACCAGACTTTGGCCTGCAGGGCTGAATTGACACTTTGGGGCTGAAACAGATCTTTTTAATTTACAGTGTAGTAGTGGTGGATCCAGGGGAGGGGCTCTGGGAACCGCTCCCCCCCCCCCCCAACTCTCCTTATTATTAGACCAAGTAGGCAATTCCAGCGTGATAAATCACTGATCCTACATTTAGAACTAAGTCGTTTAAAGGAGCCACGATTCAACTTTTAATTCTATAAAATTTAGCCAACATGTGGCACCTACCTCCAACAAGTTCATCACTTTCTTCTTGGTTCGGAATTGTAATCATTTCCTGGAAAATGATCATATCATTTTCTTTCTTTTCTTCTTCTCTTCCTGTTTTGATTGTCACTTCTTTCCTTTCACTGTCGGAATCCTGCATTTCATCGAGAAACAAAGTCATTAAGATCGTGGACAGTTGCTTTTAAGAAACGCATGGGAGAATGGATACAAGCTTTGCAGGGCATTGATTTCTGGGATAGTTTGGGTTACCAATCATAAGTAACGCTTGTCCACGATCCCAGAAACCATTACGCTAAAGGCTTGTACCCATTCCCCTCACAGTTTCTGGAGTGGGAAGGTACTTAACCTTTTTGACGATTGCGTTAAGAACTACAAAATGGAACTGCAAAGTTGAATGTTGATCTTAGTCAAGTCAAATGTTACACTGTCAAGTTGAATGTTGTGATCTACTTTGATTTTTGGCGGGGATGGAACTCCATACACCCGGAAGACCAATAATATCCCACCTACTTATATGAAAATATTTACAGTTATTTTACAAGTCTGATCTCGTTCTAGTGCTCGAATCTAAATTTCTCTAAAAAGATACACACCTTCAACTACTAATTGCACAAAGCCAGTCATTTGCTCGAAATGTGGGCTACCAGGTGATAGCAAACAGCAGTATAGTCCCACATCATCGTTTCTAACATTATAAAGTTTAAGGTGGCCTGCTGACAAGAGGAAGAGTCTCCATTGGGAGTTCCATTCACGCGACATCTGTATGCAACAGGAACTGTTTCAGCAGGCAACACATCAGCACCACGCACATCTAAAGATATAAACTTCTCTCCGGTGTCCGTTCCAATATCATTTGCCAATGCCCATCAGGTTACAAATTCCAATTCACCAGAAAATTTCCAGGCGAATTTCACAGAATGGCCAATCCTTCCTGACACCTCCTTTTTAGAATATGATGTTGTGAATCTGAACGACTGCCCTACAACACAGACATGATACATGTAACACTTATTAAAGTTAGAAGACAGAAAATCTCCATTGTCAACCGGATTTACTGGTCACAAACAAAGTTTTCTTTAAATTTGCGTTGTATTTTTAGTAAAACCAGGTAAACTCAATGTAGTTGTGAACAATTCTGATTAACAAATCTAAGTAAAACTGTGGGGGAAAAACTGATTTTTGAAAATGGAATTTATGTGATAAAATAAATAATGGTAATTGAACTGAGTGGAGTGCAATTTGGTCTGAAATCATACGCGTGATTTCGCGCGCTCGTTCGATTTGAAATCACAAGTATGATTTCAGACCAAAATTGCACGAGACGAAGTTCAATTACCATTTTATTACATCTACTTTGAAATCGCAGAATTTAGTCAGTACTAATATTTTATTGGTCGAGTAGCCGGTTTGTTAAAAAGCCGAAACAAAGAGGCTTTTACATCTCATTTTGTATTCGAAACAGAAATGATGCGATATAGAACAAAAATGGTGCGATTTAAAACAGAAATGATGCGATTTAGAACATGAATGACGTGATTTGGAACAGATGCGATTTAGAGCAAAAAATGGTGCGATTTAGGAATAAATCACACTGCTGAGAGCCAAGCAGTTTGCACGGATGGCCAGTTATTTAAAAGTGGATGTAATAAAGGTATTTATTCTAAGTTAAATGATACCTGACTTTTGCGTATTAAGTGCAAATGTCTGTAAAAATCGAGCAAATTCGAAATTTCGCGGCCACAGTCAAAAAATCATTTTCGCTCATATCTTGTCTATAGATAGGCATAAGACAGGAACTAAACGTGGTGTAGCTTGTTTTTCAAAAGGCCGCTTGGATTTGGAGAAAATTGACAAAATCAATTTTCGTGGTCGGCGACTTGAAAACAACCAAAATTTGAGGCAAACTGACGCGGTTTTCGCTCGCACGCACACAGGAAGAAAGCGGGGTAAAATATTTCCCGATAAATCAGTTTATAAAGGGTTCTACTTCTGGTTTGGTGATGAATTCTTATCTTGACGATAATCTGGAAGATAAACAATGTTATTTTAGTTTGGGTTCTTTTTCGACTAAACGAAATTTAAATTTAGACAGAAAGTTGCGTTTTATATTTAGGCATGTGCTACATCTTGGTTTTACCTGAAACTCACTCAAGTCATTTGTTATTTAAACATTGTACTAAAACATATGTAAGAATTGGCCTGGGTAATTAAATTTGTACTTCACACGAAGCTCCTGAAGTTGAATAAATTTTGCTTGAAATATGAGACTTTTCAAGGAAGTCGGTTGGTTGTTGCTCGACAAGTCACGATGGCTGGGATCTCCAAAAGAAACTTGATTCACAATCGCACTTGTATTAAACACATTTGTACTGAAACGATAATTTTTGTTACCTCAAATGCGTTTTCCCGTTCTTGTCAACTGGCATTGCGCCTTGTCCCATGCTAATCAACCGAAGATCCAAAAACTCGAGGAAACGTGGTGCGTGAAAATAACCTCAAACAGAACATGGCCTTTCCTTTCCGCAGTCACACTTTTACATCCATTGCCATTTAAAAATTCTAGGTCTCACAAAAACTGTGATTTTGATAGTGAAACTTTCGGGCTGCCGATACCTCTTTGGTCATAAAAGTCTGGTCAAAAGTGTTGCGTGACAGTATTCACAGCCTTCTCAATCTAACCATTTGAGCGACGCCTTTTTTTAATGTTCTTGCCAGAAGTAGCGTATCATGCTACTAACAATCCAAATCGTGTTTCTTTTTCCTTTTTTTGCTAAGTTTTCTCAAAGTGTGATTCCATACAATACTAAATAAGTCCAAAAATATCGTTTTTCACGTCAACTTTCCCCCGTTGCCTTGTATGTGCTTTTGATTGACTTCAGGCTTCAATCTCTAGCTACTTCACCGCGTTATTACCTATCAGGCGGCTGTCTTTCCTCTCGCATATGCAAGTTCCATTGTTTTGGATAACAGTTTTGGTAAACATTCTGCAATTATTTTTCAGTATATATATATATATTTCTAATCTGAACATGGTTATTCGATCGTCAAACTCTTGTTTCTGTTTATACACAAAGGAACCCCGCCTTGCGACCACCACGACAACCTCTTGCCTCAGCTCACCTCCCATAGTCTTTCCACCCAGACGTGAAAATCTCCGAGTCATTTTATTTTTTTGAAGACCTCTTTAATGCGACCACCTCGGTATTACGACCAGAATTTTATGGCCCAACGCTGGTCGCATCAACGAGGTTCCACTGTATTTTTTAATTTCAGTTTCCACATTGTAGAACAAAAAACAAAAAAAATGTGTGTCAGCTGGTCTATGGAAATTAATGTAAAGAACTAAAATCTAGGCCGCGCTTATATGAAGAAAATTTGTCTTGAGCAGAAGGGTCACCCGCCTATCCGAGCTTCCCTGGAAGAGGCAACGTTTCACACATTTCCTTACAAAACATGGCGAACCGTTTGAATTACAAAAAGTTGGCTCGGCTAGAAGGGTGACCCACTTTGTCCAGTCACCGTTTTGTAATTGTAGGGTCAGCCTCCCAGCCGGGCCAACGTTTCTCCCTCGACACTTTACGCTCTTTCCACTGAACAAAAATTCCTGTTTGAAATTTCGGAAAAACCACGTGCCCAGTGGAAGGTACATTCCAGTTGCAGAGACCAAACCAAAGCCACCGCGAGTTTGGTTAGCGTGCTTGTAAGCAGGATACAGATCATTGGTCCCTGGGAAATTATTAATTTGTCAAATGGAAGAAGACATTTCGGTCCGACCGTCTAGATCAAATCCGATCCGTATCGGTAAAGGGTTCGCATAGCCAAGGCGAGACAATTAGAGCATGCGAAAGGCCGGTTGGGGTCAATGTTTTTTTTTGTCTCGACTAGGAAAGTGACTCTCCTACACGAGACAGGTTTTCTCCATATAAAGGGAATTAAAACTTTCGGGATACGAAATTGTAATAGAGAAGGAATCAGAAAAAATTTCAAAATTCTCGAAAAAAATAATATTGAAGCCCTTGTAATTTCGATCGAAAAGACTACTCAAGTTGCCCTGTGGATGACCGAACAGTTGTTATAATTATATTAAATCACTGATCCTACATTTAGAACTAAGTCGTTTAAAGGAGCCACGATTCAACTTTTAATTCTATAAAATTTAGCCAACATGTGGCACCTACCTCCAACAAGTTCATCACTTTCTTCTTGGTTCGGAATTGTAATCATTTCCTGGAAAATGATCATATCATTTTCTTTCTTTTCTTCTTCTCTTCCTGTTTTGATTGTCACTTCTTTCCTTTCACTGTCGGAATCCTGCATTTCATCGAGAAACAAAGTCATTAAGATCGTGGACAGTTGCTTTTAAGAAACGCATGGGAGAATGGATACAAGCTTTGCAGGGCATTGATTTCTGGGATAGTTTGGGTTACCAATCATAAGTAACGCTTGTCCACGATCCCAGAAACCATTACGCTAAAGGCTTGTACCCATTCCCCTCACAGTTTCTGGAGTGGGAAGGTACTTAACCTTTTTGACGATTGCGTTAAGAACTACAAAATGGAACTGCAAAGTTGAATGTTGATCTTAGTCAAGTCAAATGTTACACTGTCAAGTTGAATGTTGTGATCTACTTTGATTTTTGGCGGGGATGGAACTCCATACACCCGGAAGACCAATAATATCCCACCTACTTATATGAAAATATTTACAGTTATTTTACAAGTCTGATCTCGTTCTAGTGCTCGAATCTAAATTTCTCTAAAAAGATACACACCTTCAACTACTAATTGCACAAAGCCAGTCATTTGCTCGAAATGTGGGCTACCAGGTGATAGCAAACAGCAGTATAGTCCCACATCATCGTTTCTAACATTATAAAGTTTAAGGTGGCCTGCTGACAAGAGGAAGAGTCTCCATTGGGAGTTCCATTCACGCGACATCTGTATGCAACAGGAACTGTTTCAGCAGGCAACACATCAGCACCACGCACATCTAAAGATATAAACTTCTCTCCGGTGTCCGTTCCAATATCATTTGCCAATGCCCATC